ATTGTCCATAAAAATAACATTGGAATTTTAAATGAAAAATGTTTTTATTTTCTCCTTAACCAATAACCGTACAAAAACATTTTTACATACTACATTATTTGTTTTTTGAAGGTCTTTCAAAAGGTTCGGAGAAAAATTGATAAATTTTGTGTTATAGGGGTAAAAAAAGAGAAATGGAAATTCGCTTAGTCAACAGGATTGCTGCACCCGGGGTATTTATATAGTGGGAACATTCCTATGGACTAATTACATTGATTTGTTGTGCTTTTATTTGCATAAAGGGGGATAAAGGTCTTATTTTAAGTAAAATAGTTGGTGAAATCGTAACATGTAGCAATTTTAAAGACATCATAACCGGAAACTGCAGTGGGTCCAGACGTGATACCCGAGTTAAAAACACTTCTATAGACACATACATCAACATTGAATGGTAAAACTGTCTATATATGACTCGTACACAGCCATCGGTGTCGGATTTATATGAGTTTTTGCGCCAAATTAGGTTGTTTTGTACGATTTTTCTAGTTTCTTGACGTGATCCTTTGAGTAAAGCATATCGAATTCGGTATTTTTGTAAAGCCCTTTTAACGTGCTACAACCTTCTCTTTAAGTTATTTCTGATATATTGTATCAATAAAACGTAATCAACAAAAATAACACAAAAATATTTAAAAATATAGGTTTTTGCAAAATTACGAAAAATGCACTAAACATACAACAAAAGTGTAAATGTATGAAAGATAGCATGTAAACTTATCTTTTAAACAAAAAAAAGTTCATTCCGATCCGATACATGGTATGTAAAATATAGTTATTTTTAATATAGCCCTTTCCGCCATTTTGATGACGTCATAACCGGAAACTGCAGTGGGTGCAGAAGTGACACCCGAGTTGAAAACACTTATTTAGACACATACATCAACATTGAATGGTAAAACTGTCTATATAAGACTTGTGCACTGCCCTAGATGCCGGACTAATAGGCGTTTTTGCGCCAAAATAGGTGTTTTTATGAGATTTATCTAGTTTCCTGACGTAATATTTTGAGTAAAACATATCGAATTTGGTATTTTTGTAAAGCTTTTTAAATGTTCTACAACTTTTTCCATTGGTAGTTTTTGATATACTGTATCAATAAAATGTTACTAACAAAAATAACACAAAAATATTAAAAAATACAGGTTTTTGCAAAATTACGAAAAATTTACTAAACATACAACAAATGTGTAAACGTAAAACAGATAGCATTTAAACTTATCTTTCAAATAAAAAAAAGTTCATTCCGATCCGACAAATAGTTTGTGAAATATACGCTTTTTAAAAATCAATGGCCGCCATTTTGATTACGTCATAGCCGGAAAACGTGGGGGGTAGGAGGTAAACACCCAGGTTTTTTAAACTCCCTAGACATCAAACTAAAACGTTATGCAAGAATATTGAGTACCAGTATACGCAAGTTTGCACACTAAAGTATAGCTAGCTGCAGGACTACAGATAAAAAATAAAGATTTTGATATTACGTGATACAAATTAACACAGATCAAGGATTGTCAAAATAACATTGACAAACATTAGGTTGTAGTAATGTAGAAGTTTCTGTTAAAAGCATAAAGAATAACAGATTAAGTTTGTTAAAAGAATAGCAATGCATTAAAAAGTGGTTTAGTGTAGTAAATTTACTTGAATGATATACATGACATCCTCATATAAGTGCAAACAATAAAATAGACACATTCAACATCAGAATCTATGAAATTCTTTGTACAAGAATACTTTCTACAAAGTTAAAAGCTAAAAATTCCAGTTTTTAAGGTTTGATAAAATAAACGCATTGTTCTAAACAAAATAAAGTACCATTTTTAAAGTACAGTAGATTATGTGGTATGGTTACTAGTTACTAAAATCACATTTAGCTTTTTAAAACAAAATCAAGTCTAATAAGCTTAATTGCACATGTACACAATAACCTAGAAAAAATATCAATATTTTTACTTGATACTATTTGAGTTTCCTTTACTGTTACTTTATTTAAATTTTAGACAAAAAAAGAGTTGTGGCGATCTTATTTCCTGTTCATGTTGACAATCACAAAAGTCAATAGGGTCACAAATATATTAAGTAGAATGCTGTCATAATATTAGAGAAATGAGCTAAAGGCTTGTCTAGTCAGTAAAATGTTTTAATCTAACTTGGTGTGGTAAACAAAAACCATACAAGGGACATTTTACAAATATTTCCCAAAAAATGTAAATGCAAAATACTGAGTTTATTTTGATTTAAGTAATTTTAAATGGAACTATTTTTAATTAATTACCATTTTCTAAACTTTAACTTTTTTGTTTACATTTAAAAGATATACTTACTTATACTGTATACTGATAATGTATAGCTTTAATTCAGATTTTATTATAAAAAGTTCAGATTACTGGTAAATAGATAGTGTACAATGGATCCTGGAGGAAAAGTTTATAGTAAATGAAAAATGTCTTTAAAAGGTCGAAGAAATAAAAACAGCCCTTATTCATGCATTAAAAAAAATTTCCTTAAAATAATAGTAATTCCATACAGCAGCTAAACAGATTATCCAATAATTTTGGTTAATCAAATTCATACCAATCACTCTCTAATTTATCCAAAACAGGGACAGTTAAAACAAGTAAGAAAATCACAGAAGTTTTAGGCAATTACTACAAGACTGTACAAGACTAATAAGACTATACATCGACATTAACACATCTATGGTGTTTTAATTGTCCAAATGTACATTGGTAAGACCTTTTCTACAGTATCACATTTATTTCTTTAAACAGCCAAACCCAGCACAAATATAGACATGGGAAATGAATAGAGGTAGAAACCTCAATGTAATGTAATATTGGAGCAATTTTTAGAAATTCAAACGCTTTTTCGTAATCTACAAACAAATTATTACTAAATAAAAACTCTATAGGTGTGGAAAATGTTCCTATTTACACTAAAATGAGTTATTTAAGTTCCTCACTGACACAAAATAATAAGCTTTGATAATGAGATATATAAGATTAAATATTGCTTGTATTGTATATATTTTTTGTGTGTGAATATATTTTGTTTCTATTTCTTGTAGAAAGGTAGGGAATTTTTCTGTTGATAGGTAAAAACTGTCACTCAGTGCACAATTTATTTCCTAAAAAAAATTAAATAACAGATAAGTGTAAGAGGAACATTTTCCTTCAATACAAGACAGAGATTGGTGTCCCTAGCTACCTAAACAGTGACTAGATAACGGCGATGTTAGAGGTGACGATATGGCTACATGGTCAATAATATTCTCATGACTGATAAATCAACTTTCAAAAAAAAGTAAAATTTGGTAAAAATGTATAAAAAATGTTTTGAAAGCACCTGAATCCAGTAACAATTTTTTTAGTAAATTGGAACTAAAAGGCAGTATTTATTTAAAGCAAATCTGTGCAATACTTCTACTGATATCATAAACAACAAAAACTTTCTGCCATACACTTAAATAATACAGTTTAAAATATGACTAGGTCTAGTAAGTTAGAAAAATGCTTTATGGGCTGGACAAACTTTACAAAATGTCAACCCAAACAAAAGGTAACAAATGTATAATTGGAGTATTGATTGTAACCAAGTAAACAAAAGTGAATGTGAGCTTACATTCCCGAAAAATTGTTATGCATTAAACAACACTGCAAAATTGTTACACATTCACTAAAAAAACGTAGAAAATAAAATTTTATATTTATGATTATGTTTTTGATTAACTGCAAACAAAAGGTAAAAATTTTGATAAAGGTAATTTAACCAATACAGGTACTTAAAAATATAAGGAAAATGAGTATAAATTGTATTCCAAAGGGCTCAAGAGCTGGAATAAAATACCCCCGCCGCAGCAAACCTGCCGTCTAAGCGAATTTCCATTTGGCCGAATTGATTTTCAATTGATCTATTTAAATAACAATAGGTTTAACGAGTACCTAGGTTTGCTGCTACAAGGAAACTAATAAAGTAGTGTGTTTTTACAAAAATATTGATAGCTTACTATAAAATAAATAAATTTGCCAAGTTTGATCAAAATATATCCATAAACAAGCAAACTACAACATTTTACAATATTCTCCATAAGAATAACATGGGAATTTTAAATTTAAAATTTTTTTAGTTTTATCCGTAACCAATAACCGTACAAAAACACTTTGATATATACTGAATTGTTTGTTTTTTTAAGCTCTTTAAGAAGGCTTAGAGAAAAATTGGGAAATTTTGTGTTTTGAGGGTAAAAAGTGAGAAAAACCAATTTTTACCCCATAAAACCCCCCATAAAACCCTGTTCCCATGGTCCGATCATGCTGGATCGCGAACTCATTCAAGTTTATCCCGCCTTACACCTTCAAACCAAATTTCATCAAAATCGGATAAAAATTACTCAAGTTATCGTGTTCACGGACACATATATATATATATAAATCTATATATATATATATATACCTATATATATATATATATATATATATACATATATAAAAATTTGAACGAATGGTGTTTTTGGCCTCTGGGGACATTAAAATGAAAAAGTAAATCGGTCCCGGGCCTAAGTCTTACCATGAGACCTACGGTAATAGCTACTTCCCTATAGGGAAATTCGCTAAAAAGACCATACAAATCTTATTTGATAATTAATCATTCATTTATAATTTATAATTTGATATTCATATTAACTGAAATACTTTGAAGGGGGTAGAGTAAAATTCAAAATGCTAGGCAATTGCACCCTATCACCTCACCCCCCCCTGAAACCATCCTGGAGCCACCTCTGATGTTAAGTTGTTATGAAGGAAATTTGTGAAGAAAAATTTGTATCTTGTTCCTGTCACCAGAGTCACGATATCAGCAGTACCTAGACCAGTATTGCACAAACTGGCAATGATTCATATCATTAAATACTCAAAAGTAAAAAAAACTGGAGCCAATCGACCCTCACATCACCAAACCTCACTTTAGTTGAGAGATTCTACCGACACCGACAGCGCAGGTAGTTCACAGCGGTGTTTGTAGCAACCGTTGCGACCGCCCGGGGGTCGTAGCGGAATCTCCTCTATCCTCTCCAGATCATGCGCAGCCCCTGCGGAGTTCTGCTTGAACAGTCGAGGAGTGCTCTTCACCTCCGAGTCCTCCCGGTCCACGCTGAACTGCCGTTTGAGAAACCTTGAGTTTCGCGGCTTAACTTGACCATCGCTCGGTGAAAGACAACGGTAATGGTTGTAAGCGCTACTCAAGTCTGGCTCTTCCGATCTGGAAAATTGGGATTGACGATAATGCAGAAAGTAAGATACTGTGTGTGCTTAGAATAAAGCTCAAAATCCTCACATCTGGATTTTAAAACAACTTTAAAATTAAATGTTTACAAGCTTTTGAGAGGGGAATACAGTTAATAAGAGGAGGGAAGACCTTAACTCTTCAGTTAGTGGACAAACAGCTTAATTATGAAATTAAGTTGATCTATAGTTATAGTTATGTTTCAGTTTCATCTAACATCATAGAAATTGAAATAGAAATCCGTGCAAAAATTTGAACTTGAGGTTATTATACTTTAAAAACCCTACTGAACGCAAATCTATCTTTTCTTCATTGTCAGAGGCTGATAGATATTTTGTTGGTTTCACTCACTTTCATTTTTGACTGAAGACAATATCCAGGATTCATCAGGTACAATGACAAGATACTCATACATATTACACACAACTATTCAAGAATATCGAGTCCAATATTTTGAAGGACAGAAAAAAGTTTCACTTCCTCTGAGCTAGAAAACATTTTTTGTCCATCATGCTGGTTGTGTGATGAGTGTATATATGTGTTTGTTATCACATACAGGGTGTATATAAAGTCCCGCACATGCTTAATATTTTCTAAATGACAACAGATAAATCAATAAGATTTGGTACATCAACACCACACCTAAAAATCTACTTTTTCAAGGAACTATGAATTTTCTGTCATTGCAAGGAGTCAGAAGGAAATCTTAAATAGGAACATGATAAGACAGAAAATTGATAGTTCCTTGATAAAGTAGATTTTTAGGTGTGGTGTTGATGTACCAAATCTTATTGATTTATCTGTTGTCGTTTAGAAAATATTAAGCCCGTGCGGGACTTTATATACACTCTGTATAATGAGTCTTGCATATCATAAGACAAAAATAAATGTGAGTGAAGCCCATAAAACGTTAAATATTGACCATTGTCTACCATTTATTAAATAATACCTTGCCTGATAGTATGCAATTTAAAAATAAAATGTCAGACTGTGGATTTGATGACAAAACGTACCTTCTGCCAAGGGAGTTCAAGTTAGTCGTGCTCTTGGAAGTGTTGATGAAAGACACACCCAGCAGGTCAACATTGGCCTCAGATGTAGAGAAGGGTGTGGAGATGCCAGATTGGGCAGCAGACGACATCCTCTGGTCTGTTGAGAGACTCTTCTTGACGGGAGGTTCTGGAGATTTGACATCATGTAAGGTGATGTTGCCTTGGTCAAACGTCATCTGTCTCTTCCATCGCTTTCTGTAAGCAGGGTACTTGTAAAGGAACAGATTTTTAACCATGGTTGTTCTACTCTGATGTTCTTCGATTTGAGAGAAATATGACACACATCGTCGTGTTGATTCACATACATCATATACGGTGCGTCACAGTTTCGTCACAGTCAAAAAAATTTATTCTTAATGGGCTTTCTTTTGCGCTATCTACACTCATCCAAAGCAATTCTGAAAAAGCTCCTGCAGTCGCTTTGCCGGCATCTGTCAATCAATTTCAGATTTCTTCCCACTGATTATGGGATTGTTTGGACGCTTGACAGACGTTTGATGTAATGTATGTGTTTTAATTTTAAAAATAGTGATTTTGTTATTTAAATGATATTTAATGATGATGATATTTAATGATATTAAATGATATTTAAGCCGCGAAACTCAAGGTTCCTCAATTGATTTGTAACAATCTTCAAGATGGACGATAGAAACATTTTTAGAGTAGTTTGAAAAAATAACATCACTGTAAATAAAGTGACAGAAGACTTACTGAAAGTAACGGACTGACAGACGACTAAAGATGCGACTGAACTGTGACTGGACTGATGTGTGGCAATCGACCTTTAGTCAGTGGATGATATCATGGGAGGTAAAAGATATAGTTTCTCTTGCAATGAATTAGTCCATTAAATCACTAAATAGCATTGGATACAAGGAAATATAAATCTGTATTGCACCTTCAGAAATAATTCATGAAGTACCTAATAAAGATAGGAAATTAAAGCTAATTTTGTTGCATTTGGATTGGATCCCACGTTACCAGACGAACTCCCACCTTTAGATAAGACCAATAATGAATTAAATCAATACACCGTGTCAAGAAAATAACAAGTTTTGATGGGTGTGATCTTCATTTTATGTTTATTTTGATTGTGGGATTGTTAGTCATTAGTGTGACTAACTATGAATATATATGACAGCGATAATGTGAGTTTGCTTCCTGGATCAGTACAGTTTCAGTACAGTTATCAGTACAGTTCACTGTTATACTGTTTTAGCTCACTTCACGCTTTATTGGATACATTTAACCCACAAGCGGACACCGAAAAAAAAGCATTTGATTCGGTGGATCGATCAAAATTACTGAATAAAATGGAAATATTAGGAATTCGCGGCATAGCACTTAATTGGTTCAAAAGCTTTCTCTCTAATAGATCCCAGTTTGTTTCAATTTGTGGTGTATCTAGTGATAGAATGCCTGTAGACTACGGAGTGGTCCAAGGCAGCACCCTTGGGCCTATTTTGTTCTTATTATACATTAATAACATCTCTAAGTTAAATATTTTCGGAAAAGTGTTCTTATTTGCAGACGATAGTCTTATTTTCCTGCAGGGAAAAACTTGGCCCGAGGTTCGAGATAAGGCTTTGCATGATCTCATGATTGTAAAGAAATGGTTAAATCAAAACTTACTTTCATTAAAAATGTCAATAAAACAAAATACATGCCAATTTCTATTAATAAGATTACAGATTACAATCTAAATGACCTTATTATTCACGAGTGTGGTGATCAATATAACATTGCATGTGATTGTGCGTGCATAGAAAAAGTAAATTCGTACAAATACTTGGGTGTATTTTTTGACGAGCGTTTAAAATGGGACGTTCACATTATTTATTTAAAAAACAAAATAAGGAAATTCATTTTTGCTTTTAGACAAATGAGGGACATTCTAACATTCAAAGAAATAAGAATGACATACCACGCCTATGTTCAATCATTGTTGTCTTTCGGTATCATAGCATGGGGTGGCTGCTATAAAAGTATTATAGAACCTTTAAATGTTGCCCAAAAAACCATAATAAAAATAGGATTTGGAAAATGCAGACGATACCCGTCAGTCGCTTTATTTGAGGAAACGTCCCTTTTTTCTATTCGCCAACTTTACATTAAAAATATATTAATTCATATTTTCAAAAATTACAATAACATTTTCCATGAAATTGCACATTCACACAACACAAGGTATTCTTCAAGAGTTGGTATCACTACATTACAAAAACATTATTCCTTTTCTTCAACTAATTCCTTTTACATTTCTCATATTCTGTTTCGTAACATCGGCTCTTATTTCAATAACTTAGGCATCTTTGATTCATCTTCTCTCAATTTGTTTAAAATCAGGGTTAAAGAATTCCTTCTAAATCTAGGAACGGACGAGGCCGAACTTATCATCTCAGCTGATTACCGGCGTGTTTGACCTGACCCTTGTGCTGTGCTGTCCCTCCCCACCAACCCACCAGCCGACAGCCGTGCGCACAGCTCCTGGCCGTCACAACTGTATGGACACAACACAGCTGAATTTGCTCCCACTGTAATTATCTATCACCCATTTCATGTCAATTACATATCATTCATCCTCAAGAAAAATTCAAAAAATCTTTTTTTCCGTTTTTTATTCAATCTCTGTTTGAATTTTCAATCAAACAAGTTTAGGTCATTAAAGATTATATGCAACCCAGCAGACGCACAGGCAGAGTTTGTCTATGTCTGCTGATTCCACAAGACCATTCAATTATAACTAGCTACAAAATTATAAGTTTATTATGTTCGTTTTGCTAGTTTTAGTATAATTCAACATTAAGTTCACAACTTTGTTATTTCTTGTTTTGTTTTTGATTGTTTGATGTTGTAAACTTAATATTATAGTAAAAAGGTAATATTGTACTTTGTAGCAAATTTGACGGAATAAATCATTCATTCATTCATTCATTCATTCACCTCCTTTTGTTATAAATCAACACACTACTATAGTAATTCTCATAAATCAACAATAATACTTCAAAAATCAAACTAATCGTCCAAAGGTAATCCTCAACCGATGCCACTTTCTTCAGCAGCTACCACTTCAAACTTCTTATATTTAGGGAAATTATTTTCCTGGGTTGGCGCACCTGTCAGGCTTGTCGTCCAACAGCTGAGGATCCAGAGACATCTGGGTGATGAGACCAGGTCCTCGTACCCGTGTGTGGTGGACCACAGGCACCTCCAGGGAGAGATCCACAGAGCCACTGTCCTCCGAGCAGATCCTTGGGACTCCACCCCCCTGGCTCACACTCACTGCCTCGTCACTCACAGTGCTGGGGATACCCGTGCGGCCAAACTGGATCAAACTCTCGTCCAGGCTGTCAAACAGAGAATCATAATTACAGATATATTATATAACTGTACCTCATTAAGTAATAGTTGCAATTACTAGAAAAACAATCCAATTAATTATACATTGCTTATGGTCATCTTGTGGACTTATTTTGGGGTCTCGTTTTGTTTGGGCCAAGCGGGAATGTTACAATTTTACAACAAAGTTTAAATGTATACTCAAAACAAATCAAACTATACTTTTATCAATTATTGTGCATCATGTACGATGATAGACATGAAATGAAATGAAATACGTTTATTTATCCCAATATTGTACAGAAAGATACAGATAAATAAAATATCCCCGCCGCAGCAAACCTGCTGACTAAGCGAATTTCCATTTGTCTGAATTGATTTTCAGTTAAATATATTTTAATAACATTAGGTTTAACGAGTACCTAGGTTTGCTGCTACAAGGAAACTAATAAAGTGTGTTTTTGAGTAAAATATTGATAGCTTAGTACAAAATAAATAAATTTGCCAAGTGTGATCAAAATATATCCATAAACAAGCAAACTACAAGATTTGACATTATTCTCCATAAGAATAACATGGGAATTTTAAATTTACAATTTTTTAATTTTCTTTGTTACTAATAATCGAACAAAAATACTTTTATATACTAAATTATTTGTTTTTTTAAGCTCTTTAAAAAGGTCTAAAGAGAAATCGGGAAATTTTGTGTTTTGAGGGTCAAAAGTGAGAAAAACCAATTTTTACCCCATAAAACCCCCCGTAAAGCCCCGTTCCCATGGTCCGATCGTGCTGGTTCGCGAACTCATTCAAGTTTATCCCGCTTTACACCTTTAAACCAAATTTCATCAAAATCGGACAAAAATTACTCAAGTTATCGCGTTCACGGACGTATATATATATATATATATATATGTCTATATATATATATACATATATAAAAATTTGAACGAATGGTGTTTTTGGCCTCTGGGGACATCAAAATGAAAAACTAAATCGGTCCCGGGTCTATGTCTTACCGTGCCACCTACGGTAATAGCTACTTCCCTACAGGGAAATTCGCTAAATACTTCCCTATAGGGAAATTCGCTAAATACTTCCCTATAGGGAAATTCGCTAAAAAGAGAGCAAGATAACTATAGTAGTACAACTATAATTAATTGTTAATGAGTCTGCCATACTTATGGGATAGGCCTACATGGGCAGGTGCCTGTGCGTAGGCCTGGTTGTTATCAGTCTGCGAAATTTTAAGGGCAAAAACTGAATATGAGAGATTTTTTTTCTTAATTATTTAAAATAAAACTGATATGCGGTTGAGAATGTCGGCGACGACAACCAAAGCCAGTTCAATAAAAAAAGACATTTGGAGGGTGGGGGGGGGGGGGGGTCAAAGAATCAAGGATTTTTAGTCAGAGTCAAGTATGGTTTGGTCTAATCAAAGTCTCGGCCTCTTCTTTGGTAATGGAGTGCAGTAAAACAAGAATATGACTCTTGAATTTCTGTAATGAGGGTAAACTAAAAACGTGTTGAATATCATATTTTTGAATTAAATTTCGACAGAGGATCTGAGAAACATAAGAGCAGTTGGTAATTAGAACTGATTTATGTAGCTGAGGAACAGATATTCTAACATTGTGGGAGTATCTTGTAAAGTGCTGATGTGTGACTGCTGTAAGAATCGTGTTTGAGTTTTTGAATGTGTGATTAAGAAGGAACTGGATGAAAAGATGTCTGACCAGTAGTATTCCCGTCTCACGGAATAGAGCATCAGTGGATTACCTTTTATTTTTTATAAAAGCAGCTTTCAAAATTGATCTTTGAATTACATTCAAGGGTTCCAAGGTGGTGTGATAGCATACTCCCCAGCAAATAATTCCAAAAGATATCAAAGATTGCACATAAGCGAAATAAGCTCGCTTAACGTCATCCTCGTCTAAAATTTCACTCAATTGGTTAAAAGCATAGATATATTTACGAATCTTCTTCTTCAAGAAATCTACATGCTCAGTCCATTTCATTCGGTAGTAAAAAAAAACACCCAAATATTTATAATAATCTACCCTTTCAATGTACTCACAATTACAAGATAAGCTGTTATGGTTGCCGCAACAATGAATCTTCAAATTGTCTAGATTATAATCAGTGCTGATACTGAGTGATATGGGAAGGAATTTAGTCTTGGTTTATGAATATCTTCTCAACCAAAAATGTTTACCGGTATGTTATCAATGTGTTTCCCAAGTCATATTTGTTTTAGTAGCAGGGGCCCCACTTTGGCCCAAAACATGTGACAGGTATACATAGGCTGTCTGCTTTCCCGCTAAATGATGTAATCATATGTAGGTATTTCTAAATTAATTGTTAATATTTTTGATAAAAAGCGTTTACCTTGACCGGGTATCGAACCCCGGTCTCCTAGATGCAGGCCTGAAGCCTTATCTATAGGGCTACGACGCCAGTTACAGGTCCGGTGTTTATAGTGGTAAATGACAACCTCAATATCCTAATTTACATATACAGGGTGTGTAATAAAATAAAAAAAACATTCTATTTTTATTCTATTTTATATATATCTACATGCAGTAGTCCATAACAAATGCGAAACAATTGATAATTCCCGTATCCACTGCTAAAAACGGCTCAAAAAGGGCTTAACGGGGTTCGATACCCGGTCAAGGCACACACTTATCCATTATGTTAACAAATAAACAAGAATAGTTTAATAATTAATGCAATAGAAATACCTACATATGATGACACCATTTAGAGGGAACAGCTGGTGGGAAAGCAGACAGCGTACGTATACCTGTCACGTGTTTTGGGCCAAAGTGGGGCCCCTCCTACTGACACGTTTCATGTTCTTTTAAGATTAGGAAATGGAGCTAAAATGCTCAACCAACGACAGGATGAAGCAATTATTTTTATTTTTATTCCTATCCTGATTTACTTATTAACATAGTAATATAATTAATTCTACATCAAACTTTTCAATAAAAGGTTATTTTACCTTTACTAGTTGACCTAAAAGGTAATGGTAAAATGCTAAAATATTTTTCATGCTTCTTACCCATGGCTCTCTCTGTATGCATGAAACATAAAAAAAATTTATGATATGTCACTTTATGATGGACAATTGATTGAATAATAAGTTATCCTTTCTTGCACTTGAATAATAATTGGAATCTAAATTCATACCACTATTTCGTTTGATTGAAACATGCAGACCAATTTTGATGGAGATAGATAATCTGTCTGTGATTCTGTCACAGATTTTATCAGACAGTCATACTCTTAAACACACATTTAACACATTTGTTAACCTACCCGAGGGGTGGAGGAGATGGCAACTCCTTGTCGAACCCAGCCTTGCCCAACAGCCAGTATGTGGGCATCTTCCCTTTGCCCTTGATATCCGTCTCTCCCCGATACTCCAGCTGGAACTCTCCCAGCTCTTCCAGCTTCTTCTTTGTAGCTTCTGATATGTGTATCCTCCATGCCGCGCCTGGATAAATTCCTAAACTTATTAGTTTGAAATGGTTCTTTTTAAAATCTTCAAAATGCCGGAGATCCATAATTGTAACTAGATTTTATCCAGTTTTGATAATATATTATACTCATAAGGGAAAAGTCCTTTTCCAATGACAATGAGAAAATCTTGGATATCCTACAAGTTTCATATGTAAAGATTAGCATTTCAATTTAATCATCTTGACAATTCCAAAAAAACTTACTTCTTCTAAACAAACATATTTTTTTACGGGATGGTAAAATTTATTTCAACAAAATATAGAAAACATAGAATACTGGAAATTCATCAAGAATACTGGAAGGAGAATATGTAGACTACTAGAAATTTCTCATACTGGAAATATATATACAGGGTTGGGTTAGGCAAAAGTCTGGAACCCCCCAGTTAACTTTTTAACATGTTGCAGTAGGAAAACCAAACTCGGCACATATTTACAACATAAGAAATTGCACTTTTTCATCAAAGTCACCACTTTGCCCCAGCCTTGGTAAGGCCCCAAATTTTCAAATGTTAACACCTATCATGTGACCCCTCATTTTAAAGGGTTTATCAAGAGAAATTGAATGGTGCAAACTAAAGGTCAATATCGCATCCCTGATCAAAATGGCAGCCATTTTAATTAACTAAGATGAGCAAGCAAGATAAAGTCTAGACACCCCCAGTTACCTTAAAAAATTTAATATTTTAATAATGACCAAAAGGTGAGTTCTCTTTTTTTATAAAGGTATACTGAGTTTAGTTTTCCTGCTATAACCTGTTAAAAAGTTAAAAGGGGATATTAAAAAATGACTGCCATTTTGATTAGAGGTGCGATATTGACCTCTAGTTTGCGCCATTTAATTTGTCTTGAGAAACCATTTAAAATGAGGGGTCACATAATAGGTGTTTACTTTTGAAAATTTGCGGCATGTAATGTGCTTGATGAGTTAACTGCATACTGTTAGGGATAAGAGGAAATATTCTTACCAGAAGACTCCATCCTGGAAGCAGTGTTAACAGTGTCCCCAAAGAGACAGTACCTGGGCATTGTAAGACCAACCACTCCAGCACAACACGGGCCTACAAACAAAGCAGCAAAACAATAGTAACTCCCCACACTTTAATTGAAAATATCTACTAAACTTACTGTGGTTTTTGGTTTATTTAATCCTTCAAATAATAGAGAATTAATGAGTACTATCATACTAATATTATAAATGTGAAAGTTTGTGTGTTTGTTTGTTTGTTTGTTTGTTTGTTTGAAGTTCAATCAGGCATTAACTACTGGTCGGATTGTTTTGAAATTTGGTATGATGATAGCTTACATTCCCGATTAACATATAGACATATTCTTACCTCAAAAATCCTTTCGGGCTCCGCCCCAGGGGTTCTAGAGTTTCCCATGTTAACCTTATGAGTATTCACATTTAAAGGGAATTAAATAATTTTGCCGGCTGTTTCAACTACACAATTTGTTTCTATGATATTCAATAGCATTAAAAGGTTATACGGTTTACCAACAGGGTGCAGCACCATTGGTTCTTTATACATTTATGACAACAGCTAATTTGAACCAAGCAGCAACAAAAAACAGAGTGTAAGAACTTTACTTCTTTCTATTGTTTAGGTGAAGTGGTAGAACATTATGGCTATGGTAGATGTTCTATATACTATAGTATACGGTAGATTATAGTAAATTAAATTTTCTCAAAACGTGTCCTCTCTCATTGCAAATGCAAAGCACGAGTATTTAACTACAATAAGCATTGTATACTAACCCCGTACGAAGGACGGGTACGGTACTCAGCTAGTCTATCATATAATATACTGTTTATTATTGATTAAATTAATAGTACCGAGGTACTCTATCAAGTTATCATAGTAAATTACCTGTGTGAAGACCAATTCGTAGCCTCAGCGGAGTGTAGGGCAAGTGTCTGATCTTGAACTTGCCACTCTGATGTAGCAGATCCAGGGCCATGGTAGCTATCTGGTTGGCATGGTCTGACATACGCACTGGCAGTCCCCCTACCACCATGTATGCATCTCCTATTGTTTCTACCTGTGAAGATAGGATAACATCTTTGAACATCAACAGAACCAAGTTTTGCTGGTTACCATTTTTGCAAAATAAAATATCCTGACATTACTGTATAAATAATTTTTTTGTTATTGTCTACCACAGTTTGAGTTTTTATCAAAGAACTAGCTGATGTACCCGTGCTTTGCAACGGGAAGAGGACACAAAAAAGAAACATTTTTATCTTTACATCTGTTGCATATAATAAAGTTACACATCCACCAATGCTTTTAGAAACAAAATTCAACTTTTATGGCCTTAATAGAAACGTTTAAGTTATCATTTTTAAATCTTAATTGATTTTAAATCTTGTGTAGGCTGATATGAGAAAAACTTACCATATCTTCGAATAAAACTTTCACACACATGATTTACCTTCATCTCCCTTTGTGCATACCTTTTTTCTTTATTTTTGAAATTTTAAATTTCTATTTTGAAGTTGCAAAAATACTAATTTTTTTATTTAAATGAACATTTTTTTAATTTTACTCTTTTTCATATTAAATCACAAATTCTTCCATCTTCAGTTTCTTCACTCACAATAAATCATTAGCAAAACTAAGTCAGCTGTTATAATCTTTAGAAATATTATTGTGCCTTATCAATAGTCTTTTGAAATATTAAAAAAACTATATCTGTACTATAAAAAATGTTAAACAAATAATTTTAGTATTAACGACAGCAGACAAAACTAATATGATTATCAAAGCATCAAGGACCAAGGACAAAAAAATGTAATAGCAAATACAGTATATGTTTCATTGCATCTCTGATTCTACTCTACAAAAATATCAACAAACAACTTAATATCATACCAGTTCTTTTAATCAGTTCCATCGTCTATTGCCTTTACATTTTCACACTTACCATTAAGTAAACATGGTAACAGATATTTAATTGATTTTAGAAACAAAAGAACACTGTGTACTGCTTAGTTTTATTATATTTTCCTTTCATTTAATTTAATCAGTGATGTGACAAAACACAAATAATAAATTTATCAAATAAAGTAAATGTGAACTGAAAACTATGTTAAGATAAAATAATAGTATTTAAATCAACGATATACAATTTAGTTATTGATGATATTCTTTAGTTTAATTTAAGCATTGGTATAGTAGCAAAACACAATAACTAAATTTACCTAAATATACATATAAAAAAAACAATGTGATGTGAAATAAAGTTATGTTAAGTTAATCTTACACATGTTAAGCAGTTCGAATTTACTTAAAGTAGACTCCAAATTCATATAAAACATCTATACATTGTTATTTTCTTATTGTTTCCATTAAAAAATACCAATAACATTATTTTCATAACACTTAAGACACCTTAAAATCAAAAGTAGAGCCTGAGGTGATGCAGCAATGCGTTTAGAATATTTTGTTATTTCTATAATCATTGACATAGTTTTTGAATAAATGATCTTTGATAAATTTTTAGATTAAATAAACCAACCACATAATTGTATGAAATATTATATTAAATTTCATTGGATCAGCTGTCTTAAAATGTGAAATATGCAATTTGGCAGTTCTTCTTGTTTACATTGAAATGTCAAAGCAAATGTAAACATTGTGAGTATTCTCATTGCAGCCATGGAGACCAATCAATATTTACTTTTAAAATCCTCACCTCAGAACCTTTAAAGCCAAAGGGGCAAAGCCCATGGTCAGTATGGAAGTGTGAATAGTCCTATAATGGTCCTTGGTATGGTAACTATATTTTTGTAAAATTTAAGCCCAGTTGGTTCAGTAGTTTTTGCACCTATTAGTAATACACATACAGACACCATTAGATTTTTATATAATAGTATAGATATAGATATAGATTACAAACACTAAGTTCTCATATCTTTGTAGATGTCCTGTGGATCGAAACTCTGTCGCTTTCACATTGAAGTCTAAGATCCTCATTTGGCTTACAACACACATATCAACCATAATTTACTCATTAACTCTCATTTAGCTTTTACAAACACATCAAATTTCTAGATGGTGCAAATGAGATCCACTAAAGTAAAAATGCCTTACATATCATAGAAGCAGTAAGGGTTCTAAAGATAATTGATCTGTGATCTTATGGGTCTTGTGAACTATTTGTTCAGTTTTTGTTTTTAAAGAATATATCTCTACACCATTTTACTTACTTTGCAAAGACTAGACAAAATGAGCCTTTCAAATAGGACTACGGTATAGTAACAGTAAGTGTTATGCAAATGAACTTCTTCAAATCAAACAACGTTCAATTTAAAAACTTCTAATACAAATTTACTCACAGAAAACCAACAAAGCACAAGAAAATCTATAGTTATTGCAGATTACTATACCTGCAAAGTTAATCATGAGTTCAGTTTTAAAAAATTACATTGTTTACCTTGTAGACATTGTAGGCGTTGATTGTAGCATCAAAGCATGTGTAGAGATCATTTAGAAGATCCACCACCTCAAAGGGAGTAGAGTAGGCAGAAATGGTGGTGAAACCCACAATGTCAGAGAAGTAGATGGTTACCTCACTAAAGTCCTCTGGGTCCACCGGCTGTCCTAGCTTTAACTTCTCCGCAACAGAACTAAAAAAAAACATTTCAGTTTACACTCAACACTATTGTAGACTAATAATTCAACCAAAATAATAACTCTAAATCCATAACGGAATAGCCTCTGAATTGTTTGAGTATACAAATTTGAGACTTTTGATCTGTGTGCTTCAGTGAAATGATTGCTGAATGTGAAGTTGCAACAAATAAATCATAAATCTATTTCTTAATCAAGAGTACATCACTATCAACTTCAACTTTGAAGAGACTACAAATATTGTGGTTTTCGGACCTAATGAAGCAATCATGAGTACAAAATAGCAGTTGTCATTGGATGCAACTACATAGGTTTGTTTGACTACAGTCTACAAGACTTCAGTGCTACAGGTCAAATAAACCTTAAGTTGGGAAAACCGATACTATAAGGAACACATTACAAGTTTTGAAAGACTGCTCAACCTACCAACCTGATCTAAGGCTGATACATATAACCCCATAATCCTTTACCTACGGGTCCGGTACCTTGGCTGGAACAGTAAAAAGAACAGACTATCCAAGGAGCAGCATGTTCAGGATTTTGACGTGGTTGCGAGAGACAATGATGATGTCTCCACGAGTTTGGGAGATGTTAATAATTTGCCTTGATCATTGAAGACGATGACTTTTTCCATTAACAAAGGATTTGTCTAGCATTTAACCATTATAATTTACCCTTGATAATTTACCATTAATTTAACCTTGATAATTTAGACCATTATAATGTTTTTGTTAATGAAGGAGATGTGCTAGAGCAGGGATCGCAGGTAATGACGATAGCTTTATCAGTAATTGTGGGAGATGCCGATGTTTACATTACTGCTGAACATACCATCTCCCCAACCCTGGAGATCGTAACGTGGTTTTGTGTTACGATATGTCCGTGACCACAGGGTATAAACAAGATTTTGGCCGTCATTGCAGGAGACAGTGATGATGACCACAGGACTATGGGAAATGGTTACGATGTTGCAATGATAACATTGACACCAATAGGCGATGGCACAGTCGTATTAAGCACAGAGTCTGACTAGCCGAGGTCGGATTAGCGGGGTTCCTCTGTGTGCTTGAAGAAGAACATTGTTTGGAAATAAAACATAGTAGTTGGAAGCAAAAAGAGCTTATAATAACGAACCAATGAATAGTGTAAAACGCTAAGATTGTTTAACAAGTTTACCTTGGTAACATCCTGTTCAGAAGCTGTTCAGTCTTTTTCTTCTCCATGTCTAGTTGTTCAGTCCGTTCTCGAATAAGATCTTCCAAGTTGTTAGAGTACTTCTCCAGCATTTGGAACATTGTATCTACAAAGTTTACCTTCCTGGAATACCGAAATGACCATTATTTGTTACAAATACTATTTGAGGTCCCTACCTACTGACAATACTACGGTACTATTATACCAATGGTTATTTTAACCTTAAAAATTATACCCTTATTATCTAATTAAACTGACTGGGTAGGAAATTCACTATAGTTGGTGTGTGTTTGGTAAAGGGAAAATCAAAATTCATACTTCAACCCTCCTCTTCCGAATCTAACTGTGCTCTAGGTATGAGAATTGAGTACAAACGGGCTGTAGCATACAAATTTACTATAAATTGTAATTGTCTAGGGTAAGTCTCTTTACTTTCTTGATGACAGGTTATACAATTTAAGGAGTGAAAGAAAAAGGGAGCAAAAAGCTTACTTTTGCACAATGAAAATGCCATAGAAAATGTAATAAAAATGAAGAAAATGTAGGATGAAGATTACAAGGTGCACTGTTGACATAAATGTCAATCAATATTCAGTTTTTGAGAGAATACTCTGCAACATTAAGAACAGGCATTAGGACCTACCTCCAATTTCTGTAGCTTGAGGAAATCTTCATATTCATGTTATAAAATAGACTACCTAATTTACACTTTTTTGAAGTTAGTGCTCTTCTTATTTAGTAGAGATAAGAAAAGAAGTTTTAGAATTTTAACTAGACGAAGAAATAATAGTAATTCAAGTTTAAATGGATACAACTGAAAATTTACAGGGATATCTATCTGACCAACATTAAGTGTGAGTGGCCTAATAGGTGTTGCCACAAAGTTTGCCTCTGACTGAAGGAAATTTGGTAAGACTTTTATGAACAATGCAATCAGGGCAGCAACCCACACACCCAGACATAGTGACAGTTGACAACATGTCTTCTGATGATGTGATAACTGTGGTAGTGTGAGGTTACGTACTGAATATGTTACCAAACATATTCCATCTATTTATACCACTATTGTGTTAAATAATTTCAATGTTCCAAGCTTATCATAACGATATTTCTCATAAGTGTAAAAACGAAATTTACAGAACTTACAATCCAACCGCCATTTAAATCTCCTGCCTGTGTTTGTTTAAAATGTAAGTTGGCTTATCTAATTAGATTTATACTCAAGGTACCTACATGAATAAGGTACATGAAAAAAATTATTGCAACCACATCATCCACCAGGAAAAATATTAGCACTAGTGAGGTTATTTCAAAGTAAATTGAGACTAAACTATTTATTCGTGAGGTTGTGGCAATCCTACAAGAATCCTACAAGTTATCTTTTGTAGATCTATTTTGTATGCTATTTCTGATTCTGAAATTTATTCCACAAAATATAATACGTTTTATACATGGTTACACATAAACACTGCTCAACATTTTAAAATATTACTTATAGTACACAAAATAAAAAAAGTTTTGACCTGCCATGATTAAGCGTTTTGAACAGGTCGTGGACGGCATTGAAGTCGGGCCGCATGTCGGGCTGCTCCGCCCAGCACTGGCGCATGATGTTAATGGCCTCTGGTGGTGCTGCCCCTTTGCTGACGGACGGTCGAATCAGAGGAGGCGGTCTCTTCACCTTCTCCAAGATCTCTGAATTTTAGTCACAATGACACAAGTTATACTTCAAATAGTTTTTTAGTTACCAAATAAGCATGCATTACCCAAATATGAGTTAAGGATGGGTATAGAGTGAAGTGAAATGCCTAACTTTGTTACTGATTATGACCAGCTATTTCTTTTACTATGACCATGATGATTTATTAAAATTATGAAGGACAGTTAGACCATGTTATTAACCATCAACAATTTCCTGACTATATTCTCAGGAACAAACCATTACTCTTATGGTTGACAGGCAAGCCATAACCACTCAACTCACCTTCAGGAGAGAGAGATAGCATGCAGAAGGGTTCCCCCCTGACCACCACTTCTTGCATGATGATGGCGAAGCTATAGACATCTCCAGGTTGTGAACCTCTCCTCCGCAGGGTCTCAGACCTGAGGAGCTCCGGAGCTGTCCACAGTAGATCTATCAATAGTAGAACAAGGTTAGAGTTCATCTGTGCCCAAATTAAGTTCTAATGATTTTGTTGTGTTAAAGCTATCAAATTGTTGTTGTTTCCAGGGATTGCCTATAGATCCTTCATCCGATGGACACAAAAATTCAACTTACTGTAAGACAAGTTTTTGGTGGACAAACAAACATGTGAAGGATAAGTAAAACTTATCAAATATATCTGATCAGAGGTAAAACTCACAAGATATCACCCATCCTGCTGACTTTTACCCAAACCTTCCACCTTTTATTTAGGGGACCTCCCCCATCAAGGTCTTTCACAGATAGTTTTAACTCCTCACAATGTGCACACCAGATCTTATAGAGACTAGATTTGAATAGTCTATCTACGGTGCAGACTTCAGTTTTCTACAGTGCTCAGATAAATAGTACGTTGCAGCTAAAGTTTTGTAAAGTTACTTCATAACATCCAATGCATCAGACTGTTGTGACAAATTTTTCCTTGATTAACTAAGAAACAATACTTGAGGGTCTCTAAACAATCAGAATACATCTAGACTGTTATACTTCTCGTAATTCAGATGATTATAGGCTACTGTAAGTGACTTTCCGCTAAAAAAGAGAAACATTAAACTTCTAAATTAAGCTTAAGAACTTGCTGACCTCTAGCAGTTTTGGCAGGATGGTCTATGTTCTGGGCTTCGTAGAACGAGTTGAGACAGTAGTCAGTGACCTTGAGCACCCAGCGGGCGTCAATGACACAGTTACGAGAGGTCAGGGCACCATGAACCCTGTGAGGCACTGAGTGAAGGTATCGCATCCCCTGCAACCATTCAATGAGATGTACAAATCTCAAAAAGCATGTTCCAGACATCAAACAGGTAGGCCTATGAAGAACTCAATGTTTACAATAAGGAAGATTGTACCATATACCTGTTTACAAAATTTAAAATTAATATTCCTCTTACAATTATGGGATATTTTAAATTTGTCAATTAGGTAATTGTGATAGCCCTATTGCTCAGTTCAAGTTATGATACCATTTGCCTTCTACAGCAAGAATTTCACCCCGACAACAAGCTTTAAAAATTTGATGCAGGACCTTAAGAATTATAAGCCATTTTAAAATGAGATATGTATATAAATGTAGCTTTGGAATCAAGGCAAATGTTGGTGAATGTCAAACTGTTGATAAAAATCATTATACCCTTGGGATGGTACGAAGTACGAATCTAAATTTTACCTTGGATAGGCTGCTGAAGTCTTTAAACTGGTTTCCCATGACCATGTTTAACATGTTCAGTATATAAGTTGATTAAGAAAACCCTTCCCAAATAATGGTTTCAGAAGAAAACCAAAATTTTAGCCAACCTTTTCAACTTTGTTTATATGCATTATGCCATTGTAAAAGAATTCCATTTCCACCAAGCTTTTGACTAAACCTGTTTTACTTAATGGCTAATTTTATGGTATAATTATCAAGACCTGTTTACTGCATTTTACAATTAGCAACTCACTCTAACGAGATCAGTAAGTAAAGACAATCTGAAGCTCCAGTCTAGTTTGATTTCGTCTTGCATCAAGACATCCTCCAGAGAGCCTCTGCTACACCACTCCCAGACCAGGGTGGGTCTGCTAGGGTCTACCAGACAACCTAGAAGAGGGTTCACGTTCTCATGACGCAACCCGTGCACCTGAAAGCATAAAATATGCAATTAGTAGAGACAGTCTGAAGCTCCAGTCCAGTTTCATCTTGTCTTTTACAAGACATTTTTTAGAGACTCCATTATGATTTTTTTTTTACTTTATCAAACTTCTCAACATTTTTTTGAAAAAAAGCGATGAACATCCATAAGATACAGTAACTTATTGTTTTTTTACATGATACTACTTACCATGACAAGAACGTCCAGGGCTTTTGATTTAAGCTCGTAGGCACTCCCTTGAGGTGGTAAAGGCTTCAACTGTACAAGGTCACCCTAAAAAAAAGCAATACAAAACATGACTTTGACGATGTAGTTTGATTTATAGGATTTGAATTATCGAGAAATAAGTAATGTTTTTCAAACTATACAGCATTACCTCAATCAAGTAATTAAGAACACATTCATTGGACCAGCAAACAGTTTACACATAAATAGAACTTAGCAATTAAAAGCACAATAGGGCAGTAAAATAAAACAATTTTGGTTTCTTAGCTTAAAGAAGCTTTTATTAACAGAAGGAGCACTACAGCCACTCGGCTACCCAGACTGTCTTGATACTCACATTTTGCCTGGCCTAAGAGTGTACCACACTCGGCTACGCTACCCAGTTTGTCTCATACTCACATTATGCCTGGCCCGAGAGTGAACCACACTCAGCTACGCTACCCAGTTTGTCTTGATACTCACATTATACCTGGCCTGAGAGTGTACCACAATAAGCTACGCTACCCAGTTTGTCTTGATACTCACATTATACCTGGCCTGAGAGTGTACCACAATCAGCTACGCTACCCAGTTCGTCTTGATACTCCCATTATGCCTGGCCTAAGAGTGTACCACACTCGGCTACGCTACCCAGTTTGTCTTGATACTCACATTATGCCTGGCCTAAGAGTGTACCACACTCGGCTACGCTACCCAGTTTGTCTCATACTCACATTATGCCTGGCCCGAGAGTGAACCACACTCAGCTACGCTACCCAGTTTGTCTTGATACTCACATTATACCTGGCCTGAGAGTGTACCACAATCAGCTACGCTACCCAGTTTGTCTTGATACTCACATTATACCTGGCCTGAGAGTGTACCACAATCAGCTACGCTACCCAGTTCGTCTTGATACTCCCATTATGCCTGGCCTAAGAGTGTACCACACTCGGCTACGCTACCCAGTTTGTCTCATACTCACATTATGCCTGGCCTGAGAGTGAACCACACTCAGCTACGCTACCCAGTTTGTCTTGATACTCACATTATGCCTGGCCCGAGAGTGAACCACACTCAGCTACGCTACCCAGTTTGTCTTGATACTCACATTATACCTGGCCTGAGAGTGTACCACAATCAGCTACGCTACCCAGTTCGTCTTGATACTCCCATTATGCCTGGCCTAAGAGTGTACCACACTCGGCTACGCTACCCAGTTTGTCTCATACTCACATTATGCCTGGCCTGAGAGTGAACCACACTCAGCTACGCTACCCAGTTTGTCTTGATACTCACATTATGCCTGGCCCGAGAGTGAACCTCACTCAGCTACGCTACCCAGTTTGTCTTGATACTCACATTATACCTGGCCCGAGAGTGAACCACACTCAGCTACGCTACCCAGTTTGTCTTTATACTCACATTATACCTGGCCTGAGAGTGTACCACAATCAGCTACGCTACCCAGTTTGTCTTGATACTCACATTATTTATACCTAGCCCGAGAGTGTACCACACTCAGATACGCTACCCAGTTTGTCTTGATACTCACATTATACCTAGCCCTAGAGTGTACCACACTCGGCTACGCTACCCAGTTTGTCTTGATACTCACATTATACCTAGCCTGAGAGTGTACCACATTCAGATACGCTACCCATTTTGTCTTGATACTCACATTATACCTAGCCCGAGGGTCTACAACGAGAGGACGACTGTTTGTGGAACTCTTGAGAGAAGCAACTGAACCCTTGAGCAAGTCTGGTTTGTCTACCTCAGGACCTCCAAACTCCTGTAGCTGCTGCAGCCAACAGCACAGCATAGTCTCAATGCCTTCATCCACCTGCGGTAGTACAGAGGTACAATAGTTATATGTTGCACTGCCAGATATTTAATAACATGTGGTCTAAAACATTGGTTTAAAAACACAATGTGGTCAGAAAAGCTCTTGAGGAGAAAATAAAATCGTTGAATCAAATTTAGTTTCAATCATGGGATATTTAGAAATTTGATTTTAAATTGTTCTGTCGGGAATTTCAATATGCCGCTGGAAGATTAACCAAAATATTGAAACTGATTAAATATGTTGGCAGACTCACTCTTCGAGACTCTGGTGCTTGGGGGAATGTGAAGTCAGCTGATGTGAGGAGGATCTTGCACGGACCCTTAGTCATCTGGCGCTTGTTGTACTGCTTCCTAAGACAAAACAAGATATTATCTTTCCTTTGTAGGACAAACCAAAGGCAAAATTTTCAAAATTGACCCTAATTATTGTAGCTCCTTATGTCTAAGAAGGTTGCCGCAAACAGATTTTAAATATCTCAAATGGTTGAAAAGTTAAGGGGGGGTGCAAGTTACTTTTCAGCCACCCTGTATATGAAAGAAAAGATGTTGTTGATAGTAAGAGCGAAGTGACCAACAGAGAAAGATAACAGGGTTAACTCAGCTGAGTAAAGTGTTACGTCAACAGTTAAAAAATGTATTAGTGAGTCACATTTTCAGTGTGATGTCATTTTCAAACACTTCAATTCATTTGGGACTTTTACAGTTGGTTTAAATTGTAACCTAAAATCTTAAGATTCATCAGCCTGAGAAGATTGAGAAGATTGATTCAACAGAGAAGTAATATATTCATATATGTGTTGATTCGGAAACTGAAAATCTTTGTTGACAAGTTATACCAAGTCAGAAAGAATGAAATTTTAAAGTTTGTCAGTAAAAAAATTCAACGCTTTTCTACTTAAATTACTTGTGATAATAAGAGATCTGTTCAATACTGACCTAGCCATGACTGCAGCTAGAAGGATGACTGCTACGGATACAAATGACCCAGCCAGAGCTCCTAGCATCTGGACTCCATTGAACACCAAGCCTGAAGACGATAAAAAAACACATTTCCCTTTAAAAGTGACGGAAAAAACATTACTGAGCTAATCTAGTAGATGTAAATCTGCACAACCTCATAACATCTTTTATGTGAAACCCCATGTCCGTAGTGTAAGTGTAAAAAGTACTTGTAGATATTGTGACAAGTCAAACTTTCTACCTCCTGCATTTTTGTGAAAAATGTTCTCCAAGTCTTCAATTCATAATATTTATGAACAATTACCGTACCACATATTTTAAACAAAAATAAAATTGATTTCCAAATAAAAGGCTAAATGAGTTTAAAAAGTCTCCTAAACAACTAGATATGATAAACCTGATATGATAAGACACTTTGGCTTCTTACCCTCATCACAAACATCCTCCTCGCAGAAGACATCTTCTAGAGCTTCGGTGGAGGATGTTGAGGTTGCCAGGTACTTGAGTCTCGCCCACTCCCTGGTCCGTTCCTCTAGTGGAACCACCCTCAACCCTCGATCAGGCCTGGAACACACCACATCTGTAGTACAAAATATCAGTCATAACTATTGAGTGGAATTCACAACAATCAGTTTTGACCACCAAACTTAAAGAGAAAGTTTGAATACATATACAAACAAATAATCAATTATTGGCTCCAACCCTATTAAGTAAGCAATTAATGTTGTAATGACCACTAGTCGAAATATTTACCATCAGCCTTGGTAAAGGTAAACATCCCTATTTATGTTTACATATTCCAAACATTTTTTATGACACAATATGACAGAACCCTTTTCATATTTTTGGTTCTCTGTCCAATGATGTTTTTCTAATTTCCATCTCTAGATCAATAGTTTCAAATTAAACACATTAGCATAATAAAAATGAAATATTACGTAGACATAATGTTTCATTAACTTTAAACTGCTTAAAAGCTATTTTAATAGTTAAAAACAAGCGTTATATTTAAAATATATTTAAAAGTGTCAATAGAAGAAGGACAAAACAAGTGAAAAAAGTACTGCTGCAGTAAGCCCAAATAGATTATACAACATAGTCCAAGACTAAGGATGGTTATAACAAATTTAAGACCAAGGTGGAAAAATGTGAATGTGTTGTGTGAAACATGGACCTGTCTATAATATAGAAATGTTGTAAAACTTGTACCAAAAATGTGTAAATAAAGCATTATCATTTCATTAATTTAATTTCATAAACAATTTAAAATCCCGTATACATTCCCAAACAATTATCATTTTAGGAGAGAGAAATATTTTGAGGTAAGAGGAATACCGTAGTTCTAGCAGTGCCAAAACAGTAACAATATGACAGAAGAATAGAATGTGAAACAACATTTTGCAGTAATTGTCAAAGAGACGAGAAGGATAATATATCAATCCGACAATGGACCAGGTGACATATCATCAATCAGCTGTGTAAGAGCCAATCACCTGATTGCAAAAACATTTCACCTGTTGGATGGTAATGTTGAAAAGCTAAAACAAAATTGTTCAGAACATATAAGACTGTATGTCCATAGTTTTTATTTGTATTTAGTTGTAGTTCTTTAGTGAATTTCCCATATAGGGAATAAGCTATTACCTTAGATCTCATGGTAAGATCTGGAGCCGGGACCATTTACTTTTACGTTTTTATGTTCCTTAGAGGCCAAAAACACAATCCGTTCAAATCCACACATATGTATAATATAATGTGTCGGTTTAGCACGATAACTCCAGCAAAAATCATCTGATTTTTATGAAATTGGTAAAAACGTGTAAACCTATGTTCATTTGAACGAGTTTCGGAACCAGCATGATCAGACTATGGGAATAGGGGCTTATGGGTGTTTATTGGGTGTTCTTATTTTTGACACTCAAAAGATAAAATTGTCCAATTTCTCTCTAAACCATTTTGATAGCATATTGAAGAGTTTTTGTACGGTTATTAGATACGGCGAAAATCCAAAAAAACTGTAAATAGAAAATCCCCTCCTATTATCAATATATTAATAGGCAAGCATGTTTCTTTATAACCTTTTTTTCAGCTCGTGTGAATCACAGGGAAAATCTACGCATACTGTTAGAAAGATATTTGCCTGTAGATGTGCAGAATCATTTTATAAATTAAAATAGGCTCAACAATAAGCACAAAAAAAGAATTTTAAATTTTAAAAAATTAACATGGACCTTATAGGTGGCCATGCTGGTGACCAAATAACAACTAAATATAAACAGAAAATTAAAAAAAAAATGGACAATTCCAATCACATATTTAATTTACTGCGTGGATGAAAATAGAGATGTTTGCACAATACATATTTTTGTCGAGTTTTCGACCACGAGGCAACCACTAGTATATATCTAGTGTGTCGGTGGCTCAGTCGGTAGCGTCGCGGACTTCGGGCCCAAGGCAGCGATGTCGTGGGTTCAGATCCTGGTCACTGCCGAAAACATTTTATCAGCACAGATCTTATTTGTACTGTACCGGCTCACTCCTTGCTTTGCTGTATACGATCCACGTACGGGCAGTTAGTCTATATGGACGGGCAAATGCAAGGTTAAAAGAGGCCGCTAACCTCTTTAAAAAAAAATTAATACACGTTTGTACTAAGAACTATAGTAACTTACAGCTGATAGAGGTTGATAAGAGGTCTCCATCGACCTGTGGTGTTATCTATCGTGCTGACCCAGTCACTCAGGGTTAGCACTGTCTGCTGAGACGATCTGTTGGTTCTCAGCACTGTTAGCAACTGCTGAAGCTGGGGCCACACCTTATCCTGTAAAATCACAAATATTTATGTTCATAAAGTGGAAAGGCATTGTTTTATAGAAAAACGAGTAATATACAACTGAATTTAGGCTGATAACTTGTTTGGTAAGGTTTACATGAAGCTACATGTATCATTTCAGTTTGGCATGGTTAATAATAAGTTTGCATATTCAACAGAAATCAGTAATTGAAATCAGCTCACTCTGTGGGTTACTCAATCCAATTGGTTGGTCATGTGTTTTGTGTTGATTTCCATTCTAAAACTGGTGACTGGTTCAATCCTTTAACTGGAATATCAGTTTTGCTTATATCATTAGTCAAAGTGGACAATAAACTCTCTGCAGTCGTGGAATTCAATACCTCAAAAATACTATACATACTGCATTAAGTGGTGTAGGTATACACAAGTGAAAATGGAATAGTATGAAATACTTTCTATGTCAATGAAAAGTAAAAAATTTGCCTATAAGGTGGATTGGATTTTAATCTAACATATAAATAATGTTATGATTACGTACACCATTTTCATGAACAACTTGGTTGACATTTTGGTAGTTAACATTAATTCATCAATAACTTTTTTTAATCATTGAAATATTGAATTTATTCTGATTTAATTCAAGAAAAAATATTTATTTACTCATACCAGAATTCTTATGTTGACTGAAGAAACACATACACAATTTACACCTAAGTCTGATTCATAACCTAGAACAACGCTTTTAAGGATTAAGTGACCCAAAGAGGTATCCCCGGGTATACAGTTTAATCTATAAGTAACTTAATATATATATTTTTTATTTAAACTTAATTGCAGGGTGAGTAAAGAATTCGTTACAAACCTGTTGTGATTATAAAATAATATGGTTGCCCAAACAATAAATTTCTATTATGCCTTATATTGCTTGCTACAGCAAGGATTTACAGTGGGCAAACTAATATTTGAATAAACACATGCTTACAAACCCAAATACATGGTTTATAAACTCTGAAGATACATTTGTGCAGAGGAATACGACTCTGTCATTCCATCTTCAATGTCATTCGGGTATCAGATTAACAGTAAGGCGTCTCTTGCTACTACTTTGATTGTCTCATACAAGGCTTCAGTTTGTGTAAATCTCTCTGCCAAATATCCTGAACTTACAAAATCTCTGTTATATTCTATCGTTGCCAATTTCTTATTGTAACTGTCATAAAAGGTTTCCAATATAAAACAATATACCAATTAAAGTAGTCATAATATAGAGCAAAAGCATTACACTGGCCATTATACATTACTTTCGACAGGAATACAATGAGCAACTGGTAGAAGATTACGTGAGATCCTAGGTCACATAATTGCTTAAGAGGATTACATCGGACTATTGAGATTGTGGTTTTCATGGTTTTCAAACGCTTAAATGACTGGAAGAGAATTAATAGTTTTTAGCAATTTACTAATACAGTAAGATAAAAACAGTTTTCAATCTTAAAGTTGGTCAGTGGGGTCAGATAAGGAAGGGTTGAAAATATCATTCTTTATTACTACTAAAACACAATAATCATATTCTATAACCCATCAGGACATCCATCCTTCAATTTCATATAATTAAAGGAGTTGGTGACAGGTGACAGACTCTGACACCTGCTATATTCAGCTTCTCTAATCTTATGATCGCTTTCTCATCAACTGTATTGCTCATAAGTTGCTACTTGCTACTTGCTACAAGATTGTTTTACCTCTCCTGTAATGTTTGATTCTGCCACATGAAGCAGCAGTGTCGCTTGTCTCGCGGCTGGACTCAGCAGCTGAAGCAGAGCTGTCCATGACGTCAGTGGCTGAAAACTCAGCAGCAACAGAACAGAAGATGGCAGAGCTGCCTTCTTGGCCTGCTCCAGGGCTACCAGCAGCTCTGATGTCACAGTCCCGTCTTCTGGCACACATAGTACCAACGCTGCAGCATGAAAAGTCAGGTAAAAAGTAGTAATATTGACATTTTTTGGGGAAGTTTCACATCAAGACCTTTCATTCAAGAATACGGTTGATAGGTGTGAGGCTTATGGTTTACTAAAAAGTTCAGACCCTTTTTAGCTTTATATAATATGGATAATATCTGGTTCCGAAATTACCCCCATTGTAATCAAGCCAGCGACCTTCAGATTTGAAGGCAAGCACTGTAACAACTTGGCTACCGCTACTTGTTATACACCATCTGATTTTCAGTATACAAGAAAATAAGCAATTGACTAGATAAGTGGAAGATTTTCAAGTTCACAAGATTATGTTGACAAGGTATATAATCTGGGAACTGCTCAGTAAACAACTAACGGTAGTTAGCAACTTTTCTAAGCTTACGGTAATCCCCCCCCCTTCCACCCACCACTAGAACAAAGTTATTTAGACAACAAAGAGACCGGGTTTACCATAAATCAGGTTTGTTTGTTTATAACCTCGACAAACGAATGCCTCTGTTTTGGCATTTTGAAATAATATTACCTATCAAAACATCAAAGCCACTGTTTTCATTCTTTGAGCCCGGATTTTGTTTGCTTTGTTTACTGAATAAGAGTAGATCTGTGCTTTGGGTAACGGTGGAACAGTATCGTAAATAGAAATAATTTGCATGTTTGAAATAAATTTAAATAATAATAACAGTTCAATGTTTGTTTTTATAAAACCTATAACTAAATAGGTTTGCTATTAATTTGTAAAATTAACTAATATGGATCCATTCTAGCAGACAAATATACAAGGTATTTGGTTAATTTATCTGGAATGGTACCTAACTCAACTTTTGATTTGTTTGCTTGAACCTGATTGAAAACATTTATCACCTTTTTACCTACATTCACTTCCATGGAATAGTTAGGGTGTTTATCAATTTGGGGATGGAGTTAAGGCTTATGATATGGTCAAAAACGTACATTAGCCCCAAAACCCATACTAATAAATATTTAACTGTATGATTTTATGTGCATTTTTACTAATAGAAAATCTTATAAACAGCTCTGGACCCGTTTACTATTTTTAATTCGTCCATTTATTAAAACCTTCATCTATTGGTGAATGTAAACGACAAAACCGAAATTTGAAAGCAACCTAACAAAGAATGGAAAACGCTACATTTACACATAAAATACAAGCTACTGTAGCGCCTGACGAGAGCATGATGCTACAATGGAGCAGTATGTGAATTGCATTACGCGAAGTCCAGGCGCTCGTAGCTGGATAAAATTCAATTTGCTTCGTCTTTGCAACTCTTTTATTTAACGTAAATTAATAGTTTATCAAATTTAAAACGTAAACACTTGAAATAAGCGGCACTTTGTTAATAGACAATGGTTTCCTTTTACTGATTTCCAAGTAAATATGTTTTACAAGTAATTTTAAACTTTAAATGTGTGCTCAGAGATAATGAAGTTTTGTGACTGATCATGGCAGTTAAAATGATAAAATACAATTAATCCGTCAGTATTCGTCATCCTCAAATCTGCCGTCCTCGTAACTTCATCACTGGCCTCAATCAATCATATGTTTAATGTTGTGATTGATAACTCAATTAATTTGAAGTTATAAATTAGATTATATTTTACCTTCTTATAAACTTTACTGTCCTATTTGGAAAATATCAGTATAGAAGCGTTAGTTACAACGTTAAATTTTGATGGTGAAATTGCAATCTGATTAAACAAATATATAAACACGTAAGTACAACATAAACACCGTATTGTCAGTTTACTGTAATCATTGGGAATTCATTTAGCAGGTTTTGAGGTTAAGATACGTTTTAGAGATCTTGATAACATCCCGAATTGTCGAGAATATTCCGTCATAATTTGAGGGAGTTTTACAAATTTTCTAATTACCTAATAAAAGAATTAAAAAAATTAAATTTCTTAATTCTTCTATGAACACACAAACCAATCCATACCTATAAATATTTTTCTTCTAACAATTAATTAAATATTAAAGTTTTTTTTTTATTTCTTCATCAATTGTAATTTTAATTTTAGATCCGTCAAATTGACCATGTATTTACGAAGATGCATAAAACGGTTTTTGCGTCTATCACCAACATTAATATTTTACACAGGGAACGGTCAAAGTTCTGAGTACAGTAACGATCGAAGGCTTGGAATCGAACCAGCGATTTTCAGATTTGAAGGCGAGCAAAACTACTCGGCTACCCGGACACTGAGAACACCATGCAGTTTAAACTCAATCTTAATTTAGACGAATTTTTAAAAATAAATGTGTACTTTACATCGAAGCTGTTAATTTATTGTATAAACTCCGTTTCGGACGGATAAAGATAATTTTTGAGACTGACTTGTATTCATCGGACTGTTACCAAAAAATGTGAGCTTTTTATTATGTGAGGTTGAAATAACACACACAAAAGCCATTTAGACATAAATACACAGCAATTGCTGTAGTCGTAACTACGTGCTTTTATGACGTGTCCGTAAAATTATATCTTAACAAGAATATAAAAAAGACGAAGAAGTCAACGAAAACAACCTAACATCGTCCGTCCACAAAGGTTACGTAATTACAATAAGCTACAGCATATCTTTCTATTGTAATTAAATCCTCTCAGTGTAGACCCGGGTGGTCAAATTAAAGTTGTACGTCAAGTTTCCTGTGTCAGTTCTCAATGTATAGAGTAATATCCTTGGCACAATTGAACAAGTATAAACAACACAGCAATATGGACGAGTTGTAATGTTTGAAGTAGATCGAAAGTGAGATATTTCAATGTCTGCCAACAGTCGAATCCTGACAGTTATAATCGATTTCGTAATGGACCGGACAGGACTGTTGAAGATAGCCTTTTATATAAAACTACATATTTAACTAGATGAAGTTTTCTCGCAGATTTTTAACTGTTGCATGTACCGTTTTGTACAATAAATTAAAAAATAATTTATATGTGAAAGGGGAGAGCAATTTAAGAACAACTTTAATAATAAAGTACGTAAGAAATGTCACAGTTTTCGTATCCTCATGAAAGACTTAGTCTAATTGATCAAAACTTTCACACAACAGGCGTTGCACAGCATAGAGTAGACAGAACTTAAAAATACACCCCTAATTAACTGTTAAAAGAATGTATGGAAGGACTGTTTTTCTTCTTTTTACTTAGACAACGTAAATACAATACTTATGTTTTAATCAAAGCAAAATTTGATATTACTTAAGATCTTACACTTTTAAGGTTATCATAATATTTGAAACTATTTAGATATTCTAGAGTTTTTAGGACCATAGTGTATGAGATAAAAAGTTTTATGTAATTATACTGAAATGATCTGCAATTCTGTTATCAATCCCAAACATTAAAAGATTTATTTCGGCGAATAATGGGGTTGGATGATTGACAGATTTGAGGATTATGAATGCTGACGCGTTGATTGGAAATTATAATTGCCATTATCAATCATAAAATTGTTTACCTCTGAAAACACGACAAAATATAGCTTAAAAATTAGGTTATCACATTTACTGTGGGATGTTATTGTTATTGTTACTTGTCCACGAAGGTGATGATAATTTTAAAAACAATGATGTAGCAAAAAGGTATATTCATTAAATACAGGTAAAATATCAATTTGGAAACTGGAACGGACGGAAACGCTCTCTTTGTTTGACGAAGACAATAGGTTTGATCAGTGAAAGTGCCTGAAAGTGATCAATGAAAGTGGGACGTATACATACGTCACTACCTTGTCTCTTATATTCGGGAAAATAACTTGTAAACAGCGCTCGTACTGTGTTGAGCTTTAAACTATTAGATGGACTTAATAAATAATAGTGAATGTAAACGTAGTCTAATATTTATTTTAAAGACTTGACTTAATTTGACAATTTTTACTTGAACAAAATTGTTTTGTAATGACAAAAGTACCATTAAATATTTGTCTAAAAAATCACACAAATAAGATTTATTTAATTTAAGCATTACAATTATTTTAGTTTAAATTATGATGGATTTAATTTAAATTAAGTTTTGTGTAAATGAACACTCAAAAATGTTCTTCAATCCATAATAAACTTAGTCATTAAAGTTCAGTCTACATCACAATGAAACAGTACATCCAGAGTGAAACAGTAAAATACGTAGTTTTAAAATAAAAACTATATGTATTGGTATTGTAATGAAAATCTTATATGATGTTACTAAAAGCACATTATTTTAACCCAATCACTAATCAGAAATGGAATATGAGTGAAGAATGAGAGAGATACCGTATATGGTTTTGTTTCCTTGGATCAGCTGTTTCTATTGTTAGGGTCATTTATACCCTTGTAATGAAGAACAGCTGTGTCCAACAACGATCAAAACACTAATGGCTTTCCCTAGGATCACATTAGGCAACCTTATGCCTTAAACGATATTTTGATTAGTCAGGGCAGTTACTAATCTACCTACGGTAATTATGTATTACTTTATTAATACTGGATATAAGGCTTTAATTAGCTTCATACTTTACCAAGTCATTAATCTTAAAATTTGTAGTTTGGGTTGACGATGATTCCATTACTGCGATAATATTACTATAATGTTGAATTACTTATGAAATGGGCCATATTATGTATGGTAAGTGGTATGGCAACTGATATTACAAGAACGATGTTTACGTTATATATTAACAATGAAAAAAAATTATAACAGCTTATGTAAAGGATATTATTAAATATTTGCAACAAGAAAACAGTTTTTTTATAAACCTTAAAAATGGATAATCGTTATCATACACATTATATAGGCTAAATAAATGCAAGAAACTTCCTAGAAGGGAATATTTAAGTTTGGGTGACGATGATTCCATTACTGCGATAATATTACTATAATGTTGAATTACTTATGAAATGGGCCATATTATGTATGGTAAGTGGTATGGCAACTGGTGTGGATGCCATGATTATACAATATGCTATGTTACATGGAAA